AGGGGAAGAAACCCTAACATGGAGTGGAGGATCGGAGGGTCATGGGACAGAGTCACCTTCCTCATCTCGTGTGGCCATAGGGAAAATGGGAAGTTCTGGAGGTAACAGGTGGTAGGTGAAAGGCTGAGAAGCTTGAGTGAATTGCTTAACCTCTCTGTGCGTGTCTGTTTTCCCATCTGCAAAATGAAGAAATACCGGCACTTAATACTGGGAATATTAAATGGGTGAATTCATGTGAAGTGCTGTGAACTGTGCCTGCTACCATCAGTACATACATAAGTGTTGTAAATAAAACTTGGTACCCAGAAATGTTGCCCCTGAAGCTTGGCCCCCCTCTGCTGCAGGGCAAGCCCTGGGGAGGGAAGCCTTGGGCATAAGAGTCACAATTCCTGAAAGTCAATGTCCAACCAGGATGACAGTCAATGTCTTACTCCTTACAATCAAAATGGGGAGCTAGTAGGACCTATGGCACAGCCTGTAATCCCAGTGACTCTGCAGGCCGAGGCAGGAGGATTGCAAGTTTGGGGCCAGTCTTAGAAATTTAGTGAGACTCTAAGCAACTTTGTGAGACCCTATCTCAAAATTTAAAAAATAGGCTGGAATATAGCTCAGTGGTAAAATGACCCTGGAAGCTCAGAGAACTCAAGCAATTTGTCCTAAATCACACAGCAAGGTAGAAGTGCTTGCTCCAGAATATAAATTAAGTGGCCATTAAAGGAAGCCACAAATCTAGAAGTATCTAGCAATGGCCTGGCACACATTTGCTGAATGAGACATACCACTCTCATCCCCTTCTAGAAGGAGTCAAAGAGAAGGATGGAACCAGGGCCAGGGCCCAGGGCTCTCCTTACCCCATAACATGCCCTTTCCGTCAGGAATGGAGGTGGGAGGAAGAAGCCCATGGACTACTCAGTGCCCATCAGAGAGGGGTCTAGAATGGGAGTGGGGTCCTCCATCCCTACTCAGAAGCCTCTTTCCACCACAGGTAACACACCCCCTTCCCCTAGCATGGTATGGTGCGCTTGAAGTTACAGCTACTCACAGGCCCAGTTAGGAGGTTAGCGTGAGGTCAGGAGTTCAAGGCCAGCCTGGGCAATAGTAAGACCCTGTCTCAAACAAACAAACAAAACAAAACAAAAACAGGCCCACATCCTTCTGCATACCCCTCTTCTGGGAAGGTCCTGCCTCCCAGGCACAGTGTCCTGTCTCCCATTCTCCAGAGTGCTGGGACCACAGCTGTGGTCCAGCTGCAGCACCCAGCCCACCGACTGGCCTCTGCCAGGACAGGAAGTAGGGGGAGAACTGTGCTTGCAGCTGGACACTGACGGGTGCACACTGCAGCTGGAGCTGGCCAGGCACTAGAGTACTTCGCACGGAAAAGCCCGAGGGGAGACCTGGGACGGTATGAGGGGCAGAGACCACGCCAGGCGTTACTGTCCTCTTGGTTGCCTGGAGGGCTCTGGAGCGTGGGCAAGAGCCTGGGAATAGGAATGAGCACTGAGGTGGGAGTCTGAATGTAATAAGGCTTTGCCACGGACTTGCACCCTTGCCCTCTCTGGCCTGTTTTCCCACAGGTACATCTGAAATGTGCATTGAGCTCCCTGGGGCAGACACCATTCTGGGGACAAGGCAAAGTTGTTGCACCCATGGAGCTTAGGTACCAGTAAAGGAGCACAGGTAGCACAGGTCAAGTGGTGAAAAAAATCTATGGACAGTAAAGTGGTATGACAGGCAGAGAGTGAGGGATCCGAGGTGGTCTCACTTACAAGGTGAGAGAAGCAGAAGACATGAGGAAAGGGGCCATGAGAGCATATTTTGGGCAGAGAGAAGAGCATGTGCAAAAGCCCTTGAGGTGAGCCCATGCTTGAGGAGGAGGGAGAGAGAGAAGGAAGGAAGGAAGGAGGGAAGGAAGGAAGGAAGGAAGGAAGGAAGGAAGGAAGGCAGGCAGACTGGCTGTAATAGAAATGTAGGGGAGATGGAGGCAAGGGCAGGTACGGCCTGCACAATGTGGCTGAAGACCCCTATAAAGACTCTGCATTTTACTCTGAACTGCTCAGTGGGCTCCAGGGGGCACCTGGGTGTGGGTGCAGAACCCTGCTAGTGCTCGCAGAGGGAGAAGGTGCCAGAGGCATGCCCTTTTGACCTCCTCTCATTTACCCAGGCATCTGGCTAGGTCCCTCAGGAAGAGACAATAACAGGGCAGGGACTAGTGAAGCATATAAAATCAGAAGTAAGGGAGGCACTTGGCTCGGGCACAAAACTTAAGGTCAAAAACCTCAGTCATTAAGAAAAAGCAACAACAATAGTACTTTTCTGCAATATATTTAAAAATCAAAATCAATGCAAAAAAGTCCATGATGAACAAAATGCTAGGTTTGGGGTGGGAATTGAACCCAGGACTGCCCTACCACTGAACCACATCCCCAAACCTTTTAATTTTTTTTTTTATATTGAAACAGGGTCTCATTAAATTGCCAAGGTTGGCCTCAAACTTGCCATCCTCCTGCCTCAGCCTCCTGAGTCCCTGGGATTACATGTTTGGGCCACCACACTTCATTTGGCCTTATTGTTGTGTGCATTAAAAAATATATATATTGCTTTAAAATATTATGTATCTTGCCGGGCATGGTGGTCCACACCTGTAATCCCAGCAATTTGGGAAGCTGAGGCAGAAGGATTCCAAATTCCAGGGCAGCCTCAGCAATTTAGTGAGACTCTAAGCAATTTAGGGAGACCCTGTCTCAAAATAAAAAAGGGCTGGAGATGTAGCTCAGTGGTTAAGTGTCCCTAGGTTCAACCCCTGGTACGTAAAATATAAATAAAATGTTATGCATCTTGACACCTTTTAAGTTTTGCACCCCAGGAGAGTAGCTCACTTACATTGCCCTAATCCTGGCCCTGGGTGACATGAAGACTGGGTTACCAAGTAAGGGCACCTTGATCATCACTCCTGAGGTTCAGAAAGGAACTTACCCAGAGAAACATGGTGAGTGGGGAGACGCTGGGATTTGAACTCTAGTTCCATGTCAAAGCCCTATGCCAAGTTCCATGCTCTGTGCTGTTCTGAAATGCTGATTTTCATGAGTGTTCACCAAAAAAACAAACAAACAAACAAAAAAAACAACTTTTTTATTCACACACAAAAGTTCATGTAACTTTAAAACTCAGCTTGCTGAATCCTTACACACTGAGCACACCTGTGTAGCCAGCATGTGGGATTAAATTGAAAGTGTATTTTACATTTCCAACACAACAGACATTATTACTGGGTCAGATTCAGAGGGCTTTTGAGATCACGCAGGCAACTTCGGAACAATAAGGCTCCAGGTCTGGGCTGACACGGAGTTTAGGGGCCCTGAAATGGGACTGCGAAACTAAGGGAGGGAAGGGTAGGATTGAGATCTGTGGTTGGGGAGAGGGCAGAGCGAGATCGTGGGCCTGTTCTTGGAGGCAGGAGGGGCCTGCCCGGGGGCCCAGGTAAGCCGGTAAGAATGCTGCGGCTGCCAAGCCCTAGCGCGGGCGGGGCCGTGACTCAGCTCGTGCCAGGAAAGGGGAATGCACCTCTCCAGCTCTCCCAGCGTCCCGATCCCGAGCCAGGCCAGGTCCCCGCAGAGAGCAGCCAGTCCGGGAGGGCGGGACCCCGCCTCCCCGCCCGCCCCGCCTCACTCCGGGCCGCAGCACCCGGGCCCATCGCGGGGACGTGGCCGCGGGTGGCGAGAGCGCTGCTGGCGCCGTGGGGGCCGCCTCGGTTCTGGCCCCGACGGCGCCGCGAAGACCTGAGAGCGCCGTAAGTAGCGACTTCAAGGACTGTGGGGAGACCAAAGAGAAGCCCCCGAGTCCCTCGCCCGGCTGTCTCAGTCCAGCTCCACCCTTCCAGTCCTGGCTGTAAAGCCCGACCCGAGAGGCGGCCTGGCGCCGCCGCCTCCTTCCTAATTGCTCCTTGGCCCTTGTGGTTGGGAGCCCAAACGCGGCTCCCAGGCAGCCCATCCAGTGTAGCTGAGACTCTGTCACCCCAGTGGGCTGTCCTACCTGAGGATCATCCCATGGGCCCACCCAGCCCCACCTGGCAGGCCACAAGCCCGGGATCTCAGGGGTCTGGTCCCGGGGTCACCATGAGAGTCCTGCACCTTCTCCGACTTGACTGACGGCGGCTCCTTCCAACCACCAGGGCTTACAATTCCAGATGTGCTCACAGCTGGCCCTGCTAGAAGGGACTCCCTCCTTTCTGCACGTACCTTCGTCTTAGAAGGCCTGGAATTTCAGCCTGGACCCCAAAGAAAGGCTGAATTCCGAGAACCTCTTTTTTGCTTCCAAAGTCGGTTTTCTGACACGAATTCCCACGCCCAGCTGCTAGGGGTGGTTTGCCAACTCGGGGCTGCTGTAGGACAGGGGAGGTGGGGTAGTCACTAGCCGGATTTCCCGGAGGGGGAACTTCTAGGGAGTTGAGTTTGTGGTCCCTGAGCCCCAGACCCAAAGCACCCAGCTTTGGACCCAGAGCTGAGACCGAAGCGAGCGGCCAAAGGGTACCCGAGGAACTGACCATTCTCATCTTTGGGACGATAAAATTTGGGGACTGAAATTATTCAAACAATTGGCCCGAGGTGGGGTGTCTCTCTTTTCTTTCTTTCTTCTCTCTCTCTCTCTCTCTCTCCTGATTTTGTGCAAACTTACAGAATTTGGGACCAAAGGAAAACGCAGCCCCTTGTGCAGCCAACAGGGCCCTGGGCCTCGGGAGGCGGAGATTTGGGGAGACTGGGGCCCGGCTCTGAGCGCAGGGAGGAAACGAGCTGAGTCGGCTTCCTGTGGGGGCTAGGGCCTCGGACTCCCCGCGGACAGACGTGTCCGGCCGGGCAGCGCCGAACTCCGTGCGGGGGAGGGACCTGGTGTGGGGGGGGGGTGCGGCTGCGAAGGCGAGGAGGGGGCGGGGACAGGGTGGGCCAGGGAAGAGGGGAGGGGAGAAGAGAACAGGGGAGGAGCGAGGGGGCTGAGCGAGAGAAGGAAGAAGGAAGGGGGCGAACGGCGCGAGCTGGCGCCGAAATGAGAGAAAGCAGCGAGTGAGAGGGGAGGGGGCGCCGGGCGAGACCGTGGAGCGGAGCGGCCCCTAACCCGGCGCCCGCTGCAGGCGCGCATGGCGGGCGGGGCGCGCTGATCCCTGCAGGTCAAGAGTAGCGCACAAGTGAGTCGGTGGCCGAGCGGATTGGCGCGGAGACGCGCGTCGGAGCTGATCTTCCCTGCTTGTCCCCCATTCCCCCGCACGATCGGGAAAAGGTCGGTCGACCCTATCTGCTGAGCCCTATTTTCCTTAGGTCCCGGGCCAATGTCCCAGGTGAGCGGCCAGCACCCCTCTCGCTGCGACGCGCCCCATGGAGCCCCTAGCGCAGCTCCGGACCCAGGTAGGACCTGGAATGTTGAGCGAAGCTGGACGGGAACTGGGCGGGCTGGTGGGGAGCAGTTATTGGGGCGCAGTTCTCTTCCGCTCCCCAAGACCCCGGGAGACGGTTCTGGGGGGATGGGTGGGGGTGGGGCGAGAAGTCTGGGTACTGGGGACCTGGTCCAAGGACAGTAGAGGGCTGGGGCGAAGAGGCAGGGCCCCTAACAGAGGCGGCGGCTGCGCCAAGTTGGCTCTAACTCTCGCGGCCACACCACCAGACACAGACACACACACCGTGGTGTCTGTCCGTCCGTCTGGGATTTGTGGCCCGACCGTTTCTGCCCAGTGTGTAAATATTTATGGGGGCCTTGGGCGGGCGCGCGGCGGGGTGGTGTCTGAGTTCTTCTCTCCTTCCCTTCCCCCAGCCCAACCAGCGCCGAGCGCTTCCCGAAAACTTTTGTCTGCCACCAGCGGCTGCAGGACCGGGCCCCTCCCCTCCTTCTTGCCATCTCCTCTCTCGCTTTCCTTACCTCCCCACTGGCCAGTCCCCACCGCCTCTACCCTACAGGCACAAACACATACACACACACACACACACACACACACACACTGTCAGCAACCTCGTGAAATGCCCCTCCCCCTCCCCCCAGGGAGTCCAACCTACTCATCCCATTCCCTTCGGAGCCTCCTAACGCAGGAAGGGTTTGCGACTCCCTGAGGGGGTCTGGGCTAGGGGTCCTGCAGACGGTGGCTCCCAGTTCCTTCCCTTTCCTGTACAGATGTGTCCCTGAGGCTGGCAATGGAAGTCAGGGTCGCGAAGAAGCCAGGAACTTATGGATTTCAGGGACAGGGTGTGGAGTGCAGAATTGTAACATGGATTTCATGACTTGAGCCCCTCCTCTGTTAGTCTGATGCTCTGCCTTCCCCCCACCCAGTCCACCCGCCTTTCTTTTCCTCTTTGACTCTGAATAATGAGGGTCTGCTCCTGCTTCCAGCCCTAACTTCCTGTGGTGATCTTCTGTGATCTCAGCCTCCATATCTACCCACAGGGGCTTGTCTGCCTGTTTGGAAAGTGAATCTTAGTTTACTGCCTAGTGTGGACCCCCACAGTTGGGGAGATGGGGATCTCCTAAACCAGAGTGAGGACAGTTGGGAAATGTCTGGCCAGCATCTAGCAGCACATAGATGAGACCACTGTGTCTGCCACCCTTTTTCACTAACCCTGAGTCCCTGCTCTTTCTGTGAGGCCCCTGGATCAGGAACGTTGACTTCTGGGGAATAAACCAGGTCAAGAACTGGGCTCTTGCTGGGTGGGGTGGCTCATGCCTAATCCCAGCCACTTGAGAGTCTGGGGCAGGAGGATCACAAATTCAAGGCCAGCCTCAGCAACTTAGTGAGACCCTGTATCAAAATAAAAAGGGCTGGGGATGTAACTCAGTAGTAAAGTACCCCTGGGTTCAATTTCCACTGAATTTTTCTCTCCCCTCTCTGTCTCTCTGTTTCTCTCTCTCTCTCTCTCTCTCTCTCTCTCTCTCTCTCTCATACACACACACACACATACAGAGAGAGAGAGAGAGAAGAAGAACTGGGCTTCCTCAACCTGGAGGAAGAACTGGGGGCAGAGGCTGGGAAGTTTTTGTGTCTGGAGCCTTCTCCATCCCTCTCAGCCTCTCGCTCCCTTCTCTTGCTCAGCCTCCTGCCTCCTCCCATCCCCTGCTTCTTCCTCCCCTGTCCATTCTCTGCTTGTCTCCTCTACTTCCCCCTCCAAGACCCCCTTCCTCATCCGACCTGTCCTGAGCTCAGCAGCTGAAGTGGGGGCTGTGTGCTCAAGACAGGACCCCAGTCCAGGGTGGGAAACTGGAAGGGTTAAACTCTGGGCTGTAATTTGAGGCCCCCCAGTGCCCCAGGAAGCCCCCTCCCCAGCCTCTACTGAGCCAGACAATGTGGCTTTCATAACAAGAGGCCTTGCTGGGCTGCTGCCTTGGGAGAATGAGCTTGCTGCCCAGGAAGCCCAAACCACAGGACACCCAGCCAAAACCCCACCGCACCGTGCCTGGATCTGAGACCAGGACCCGCTAAGCTCCCTGCCCTTGCCCTTGCTCCCCATGCACCCACAGAACAGCAAGGCCATAGCACTACCCCTAGGGGCCCTATGCGTGGCACAGCCAGGGAACAAGTTGGCCCCGTTCTTCAGCTGCCCAAGATGCAGACAGGGCACAAGGGACACGCAGGGCAGCTCTGGTTGGGGCAGGTGGCCAAGCCCTCACACCCTTGGCTCCCCCAGTGGCCTCCTCCCCACCCATCCTTGACAGTCTCCGGAGCCTGGCTCCCTAACTCACAAGCAGATTTCTGCCCGGCACTGGGGCGTCACATTCCTGTACATGCTTCTAAATTGAATTTCCTGGGGAATTGGAGCCTTTGGACCTAAAATAAAACCAACCAGACCCAGCCTAACTGGCAGCTCAGGCCCTCTCCAGTCTCAGCTGGGTGACCCAAGACTGACTAGGCATTCACATTTACCATGTGCGCATCAATGGAGTCCATCTTCTCCAGACTTCTTGGGGTTCAAGGACTAATGCCTCCCCAAATCCTCCGTGCTGTGTCTTTCTGTCTCCTTCTCCTGAGTTGGGGCATCCTGAATTTCAGATCAGGCATGTGCGGAGGATGTCAGGCAAAGGAGTAGACATCACCCCAAGGGAGGGAGGCAGGGAAGGCTCAGTGTCTATAAGACTAACAAGTTATAATTCACAAGAGGGGACACAGGTGCCAACTTCTTACCAACCAGACCATTTGGAGGAGGGACTCCTGGCTCAGGGGTAAGAGAAGCTTTCTGGAGGAAGAGATGGAGCTCCAACCGGGGCAGGAAGGCTGGGCTAGATTTGGAGAGTGTCTGGAGGAACAATATAAGCACAGCTGGATTGGTCACAAGGCCAGGGGATGGCCCAAGGCCGTGGACAGGTCAGTCTGCTTGGAACACGGGACCTTTGAACATTGATTCCACTGAAGACATCAATTGAAGTCTTGAGTGGTAGACCAAGGAGAGACTGAAGCATGGAGTTCCAGATCAGAAGAGGTCCTAATCTTCTCTCTCCAGATATGGTCAGAGCTCCAAGGAAGGAGCCCAGATCCACTATCCACAAAGACAATGGAGGGGTCTGGACTTGAGGGACCAGGTGTAGGAGCTCTGGAACATGGGCTGTTCCCCACACCAGTCCCCCTGGGTACTGTTCAGATTTGAAGTGAGCCCATCCCAACTGGAAGAGGTCCCCCTATTCCTTCTTGGCCCAGGACCACCCCTTGACTTGGGGGACAGCGGGCAGAGGGAGCCCCTCAGCCTTCCTCTTGGGTATATGGATTTAAACATAGCACTTCCCCCTGCTTTGGGGGTTGGCTGTCTTTTACAGAACTCGGGGCATTGCCCAAGGCATCCATGTTGGGGGTGGCAGTACTCTGTCAAAGGGGCTGTTGCCTTTCTTTGTTCCCCATTGTGGATAGAGACTCCTGAGAGGAGAAGTTGGGGACTTCTGCTCAAAGACACCAACAGCATGTTTGAGCCCCCTGTGCAAGTTGGAAAATGATGGCCCTGTAGGCAGGTGGAGCAGGGACATAGGTGGGGAGCAGATGGCACGTTCTAGGAGGATGGGGCTGCAACCAGAACCTCGGCACCCTCCATGAACCCCTTTGGCAGGTGTCTTCCTGCAAGATGTGAATTGCAGTCCACACACTGGCTCCTCTTGACCTCTGCTGGCCACGTCTTCCCTCCATCCACTCCGCACTTACACCCTGCAGGACAGAGCAGTCTCCCCTCTGTGATTAGACAGGGTTGCCTCATAGTCATAAAAGGAAAACGGGGCTCTTCAGCCTCTTGATGTGCAAACCACGACTCCACCTGTGGTCTGGCTTTTCTCCTCTGCCTGCTCCAAGCAAGCACAGTGTCTGGGCCCTCAGGGACAGAGTCCTCTTTGCAGACTGGGCCTTCTTGCAGCTTCTTCTTCCTTCTGATTCTTTTTGTCTGTTGCTGGACATGTGGTTTAATCCCCTCTTCCTCTCTTCATATGCTGAAGGGAGTTCAGTTCTTGCCACCTTCCTGGCTCCAGGTCTGTCTCTCTGTGTGACCAGGTCAAGACCACTGGATGTGACTGTCCTCTCTACCCCATTTGCCCTCCCAGGTTTAAGGACCACGCCAGAATGGCATGGTCCTTAAATGGTCCTGTAGGACTGGCCACCTGAGACCTTGTTCTGGGTTCTTGATAATTTCCTGTTCCCGCCAGATTCCAGGTTCCCAGTCTTATGGGTGCTGATAGGAAGAGTAGAGGGAGCTGGGCACTTTGGGTAAAGTGAAGAAGATGGAGCTGGGGGCTCCAGTCTCCTTGAACTCTCTCTTTTCTTCCTCCCTAACTCTGAGGGCCAATAACAATATCACCCCCTATGTGCCCTGGTGACCTCAGGAGAAAACCTGAGAATTGACACAGGCCTGCTGTCCCCCAGCTGTCATTCTAGGCTTACCAGCCACATCTCTCTCTCTCTCATTCCTGCTGTGGCTATTCCTTCTGGGATCTGGGTTCCTGCTTCTTTTCTCCATATCCCGCTTCTATACCGACGATTGTTTTGAGACTTGGCTTCTAGGAAACCCCCTGGGCACACACACCTGGACTAGGTGCCCATTTTTTGTGCTTCTTCAGTTCTAATCAATGCCCTTACTGCAACTCTTGCTCCTCAGTGTTTGTGACAGCCCTGCCCCAGCCTGACAGAGTCTCCTGTGGCTGTGACCTGGTACTTCTCATTCTGGGACACCTAGTGCTTGATATTGCTAGACATCTTGTGGATGCTTAATAAATGTTAAACCAAACAGCATGGCAGGAAGGGAGGGAGGGGAGAAGGGAGGAAGGGCGGAAAAAAGAGGGAGAATAGGAGGGAAGGAAAGAAGGCAGCGGCCAGGGAGGAGGTGGTGGAGGTATTCTTGAACCACCCTGCATGATGGGGTGCTGCTGTGCATTTCATTTGCTCTTTGCACCCTTTCTGTGCAAGGTAATCTAAATTCTGATAACTTGTCCAAACTGGTAACTGGTTAAAAAGCAAGACTTGGACTTTCTAGCTCCTTGCTCAGGTCTTTCCATGACACCACGTGGGAGACCAGTTCAGGGCATGGGACCATGGCATGATCCTCTAGGGGCCAGGGTCTGGAGCTGGGCAGGGCCCTCCTTTCCTGAAAATTAGGACCCAAGTCTGGGCTTCCCTCTTCATGGAGGCTTGGTCCTAGCCCTCCAGAATGGTTTCTCTGCGGGTATAGACCAGGCTCGCGGGTATGGACCAGGCTCGCGGGTATAGACCAGGCTCATGGGTATGGACCAGGCTCGTGGCTAGAGGAGGATCCATCTAGCACACAGTATTTTTTCCCCTCAACTCGCGTCCCTGCCTGCCTGTTCCCTCTTGTCTCAGCCCTATAATCTTCCAAAAGCCATTTGGCTACAGGATAGTTAATCCAGATGGCAAGGGGCGCTCTCAACAGGCCCAAGGAGCGTTGCCCCCCTGGAGCTCCAGGAAGGCCCTCAATACATAACTGTGCAGCCCTCAGAAGTTGCAGGAGCCAGGCCCTTCCCTCCTACCTGCCCCAGCTCCAGGCAGGGCCTGTGGTTTGCCCTGGGCAGGCACAAGCATGCCCACTCGGGCCTGCTGTCCTTTGTGCTACCCACATGGGCCTCTGGAACTTTGGTCCCCCTGGCCAAGAGGGACCACAGTCTTTGGAACAAGGATTCCTCAGGGGTCCCTGAGGCTCAAGGCCTAGGGAGGAAGGTTGGCCATTGGATTGTACCCCCAGCCTCCCTCCAGCTCCCATCCCCCATGTTGGCATGCCCCAACCTTAATTGATCCTTCTAACTTGTCTCCTCCCTCTGTTCTCCTCTCCTCCCCTCTTTCTCTCTCTCATTTGGAGATAGCTCAGAGAAAGACACGCATGTCAACCCCTCTGTTTTCTGTGACTGATTTCATCTCAATCCGGGAGGCCATTCTTCTCTGTATCTCTGTCTGGGCATCTTGTGGCGTCTTCGAGGGCGTGTATGGAAGGGTGTGTCTTGCACTCGGGGCTTCGCTGCTGGTTCCCTTCATCTTCCTCTGCCCACTCTCTTGGCTGTGGCTCCCCCAAGCCCTTTTGATCTCTGCATTTCTCCAAGTCTCTTGTTTCTATGTCTCCTCTTTCTTCCCACCTGGGGTATGTGTGAGTGCAGAGGTAGGCGGGAGGCCCTGTCCTCCTGACAGTGCGGCACAGCTGGGTCCGCTGAGCCCGGCCCTGTCCTCGCTGCAGCCTGGGTCCTGCTCCATGACTTTGCTTCTCAGGCCTCCCCAGCAGCGGCTGAGGCACTGGGAGCTCAGACTGCTCTCTGCCTCCCTCCCCCTTCTCTCCCCTTCTCTCGCCCTAGGCCTGGGGGCCCTGGTCCTGCCAGCTGGGGGGTTGTGGGTTTGAAGGTGGCTCCATTTCTGCATTCCAGCCACCCTACCCAGAGCCACTATAATTACTTGTGGCTGCGGTTCACCTCTTCCCCAGCGCTCCTGGGCCGCGTCCTTGACTCTCTTCCTGCCTGCTGCCCCTCCCTGCTCCTCACCCCCCAGGTTCCTCTCACTCCTCCTGCACCACCATCCGCCTCTCTCTGACCCAGTTTCTCCGTGTCATGTTCTCTCTTCCTTCAGCTCGGCCCCTGCCCCTGTCTTTATCTTTCTCTCTGTCACTGACTTTCATGCTGTTAACATTTCCTGGGGTCTCCAGGGCTCTGGCCTTCTGTGCCCAGTCTCCCGCCTTCGATGCTCTCTTGCTTCCACCTCTCTCCGTCCCTTCTTGCTCTCTCCCAGCCACCCCCTTTGCCTGTCCCTGTCTGCCCCTGGGTGGCTGACTGTTCCCTCCTGCACTGTTCCTGCCCCTCCCTCCCTCCCTTTATACCTCCATCCCTGGCCCCTCCTCCTGATGCCACACACACATGGACATACCGCACACACATGGGCACACACCTTTGCTCACTCACGGGTTGGTAAACTGGGTACAAAGTTGCGGACTTACTGGGCATGTGGGGCCATGACCTAGGCCTCAGTCTGGGCAGACCGGAACCAGGGACTTGTACCTCAGTCATCTGCTTTTTTCCCCAGCCCAGACCCTGTCCCTCCTACCCGGGCTGGAGGTAGTAGCAGGACCTGCTCATCCTGCGGAGGCAGCGTCAGAGGAGGGCTCCCTGGAGGAGGAGGCACCCCCCATGCCCCAAGGCAGTAGCCCTGGGGCTCCCCAGGTCCTGGACAGCACTGACCTCGTTGTACCCACAGAAGCTGTGACGTGTGAGTCCTAGGGGGCCGTTGGGGTGGTACTGTGGGTAGCGGGGCATGTAGGGTGCCATTGCCACCTTTCTGTCGAGGAAGAAGACCTTCACTAAGTGGTTATTAACCTGGGCTCTAGGCAAGGTGCTCCAGACAGGAGGGAAGAGGCACCCTGGCCTCCAAGAGATAGCTGGGGGCCGGCTGGGGTGGGAGCTGGAGCGTGATGCAGCCCCGCCCTTCAGGGGATCCAGGGCCAAAAGGAAGGAGAGACGCACCCAACTGCTCTGGAGAGAAAGGGACTCATTCAGCTCCGTTCCCAGGCCTGGCTCAAGGTCTCTATGGGAATCTTGGGAGGGAGAGAATTCTTCCCCTCACCTTCAAGAGCAGAGGAAGGGGCTGTGGGAATCATTTTATAATCACTAAAGCAAATCCCCAACATCCATTTTTACTTTCCAACTGTCTTCCCTCGAATGAGCTCATGTGCTCTCCCCATCAACCTGTAGCGAGGCAGGAGGACAGCTGTTGCCAAGCCCATTTTACAGATGAGGAAAGTGAGGCACAGAGAAACTGCTCACCCTGGTCATGAGCTGGGGGACTGAGGTTGTCTGGCCTGTGCTCTTTGCTGTGCTGCCCGCCCGGCTGGCATAGCCAAGGCAGGAGCTGCCTCCAGCCAGGGCATCTGGGGCTAAGCTGGACTCCCTGGAAGGCAGGATGCTAAGTCCTGCTACCACAGCGCCCTCAGCCTCTTCCAGACACACCCACCGGCAGAATTGAGAGAAGGAGGTCAGGGCTGAGGCCACAGAGGAGGGGGCCTGGGTGGGAGTGGGACAGACACTCCTGTGTCTGTGGCCCCAGTATTTGCTCTGTGACTCAGCCCCCACTCCCACCCCCATGGCCACCCCCCAGCTGAGGCCACAGGCAGGCTCTGTCTGCCCACACCTCCCAGAGCCCCCGGCTCACCACTCTCCCGCCCTCTGGCCACTGTGCCCATGTTTAGGCAGCAGGGCAAGGGGCACCGAAGCTGGCCAAGGACTCATCCCGGCCACCCTCTGTGAGGCCAGGATGATTCAGACCCAGCCACTTCCCATGGCCTTGAGCTGTTTACCCAGATGCCAGCTCCTGCCCCACGGTTGGCCAGAGGCCCCTGGCCTGGAACCTCTGCGGAGCCTGCCTCCTGCCTTCCCCCTGCTCCCCACTCCCTAGCTGTGGGAACTTTGGTGAGTTTTACCATTTCTGGCCTCACTTTTCCCATCTGTGAAAGGGGGCCAATGACAGATTTCTCATAATGGTCAAAGCAGGTCACCATTAGGTAAAGCCCTTTGTAGTGGACCTCATACACAATAACTGCTCAAAAGGTGCACGCTACCAGTTCTAAGAGTAGTTATTGTGTGACCCTAGCAGCTTGTTCCCCAACCCCTTGTCTCCCATCCTCTGCCCACTCCTTGCCCTCTAAGCCCCAGCTCCTAATCTCCAGGCTGACCCCACATCAGAGACTTCCTAGCTGTGTGACCTTAGGCAACTTACCGTACCTCTCTGGGATTCAGTTTCCTCATCAATAAAAAATCTATAGAAAAGATTTCAGTGAGAGAATATTCAGCAAGTGCTTAGAGGAGTGGTTGGCATGCAGCAAGTGCTCAGTCAGTGCTCAGTGTTGTAACCTCCACTGTTAGGAGAAGGCCCAGCCCCTTTAGTCAAGGGGAACACTGATGTCACTTTCCCTTGGCATCTGGGGTCCCCATACATCTCCCTTCTGTACAGATCAACCACTCAGGAGAGCATGGAGGGAGCAGGGGATTCAGACCTATCTCTGAGGGACTGAAGTGCCTCACATTTACAGAGAGCCCTGCTGGGGGTCCCAGAGCTCTCCTGACCCCTCTCAGTCCCCTCCCCACATCACCCACCCCCCCACACACACACACTCCTCTATTCACCCCCAATGGAGCCCTCCAGTTGAGGATCCCCTGAGAGAGGCCCAGGAAGGAACTGGGACTTGGCAGAGTCAGCTTCCTTGCACCCCATTGATAAAGCTCAAGTTTGGCCTTCGACGGGGGCATGGGGTCCTGGCCTTGGGGGTTTCCCTGCCAGTTTCCTCTTCCCTTCTCCCACCCAGACCCCAAGAACCCCCTCCCCAAATTCTCCCATCTGCTCAGAGGCTTGAGCCAGAGAGCTCAGGAGGAAGGAGCAGCAGATAGAGGGGCTGCTGTGAGGAGCCCCTGGATTCCAGGCGTTCATCTCCAAACAGATGTTTCCAATAAATCACCCAGCGCACCAAGGGCAAAAACAGCTGGGGGCTTGGCAGAGGCCAAGGTGAAAGTTAACTGCTTCACTGCTGTCCCCCCCACCCACTACCACCCACTACCACCACTCTAGACAAAATCCCAGGACTCCAAGAGCAAGAGGGTGGATTTCATGTGGCCAAGAAGCTGGGGTCCAGGCTCTGAGCCCCGCCCCTGGCCTTGCACCCCTGTCTTTCTGGAATAGGCCCAGGACTAGGAAGGAGTGCGGACCTGGGCTTCAATCTGCTGCTGTTTCATGGTGTGGCTCTGGGCTGGTCAGCTCAGTTTCCTCATCTTCAGAAGATAAGTCTAACCAAATCCCCTGGGGTACGTCTAAGAATGAGGCAGTCAGGATTAGAGCAGAGCTCCGTGTGGGAGGGGTGCTGAGTGGCCCCCACCTCTTGCTCATCATCCTTTTTTCTCATCTCTCCAGGCCAGCCTCAGGGGAACCCCTTGGGCTGCACCCCTTTATTATCAAATGGCTCCGGCCACCCCTCAGAGCTGGGCCATGCCAGGCGTGCTGGGAATGGTGCCCTAGGTGGCCCCAAGGCCCACCGGAAGTTGCAGACACACCCATCTCTGGCCAGCCAGGGCAGCAAGAGGAGCAAGGGCAGCACTAAATCATCCACCTCCCAGATCCCCCTCCAGGCGCAGGAAGGTGAGTGCCCATCCCACCCCCCAGGAGACCTGCAAACTCCATCCACAGCCAGAGGCGGCATCTTCGCCTGGTGGTTACTGGTCAGAACAGAACCTCTGACCTCCTCGATCTCTGCGTAGGGCCCAGGAGCCTGGGCTCTCAGAACTCCTTGAAGCCTGCTCCTGACAGTGAACCTTGTGCGAAGCATACCTGCTGGGTCCCTGAGGCACACCTGCATTCTCAAAGCCAATCCTTGCCTCTCCTGCTCTCTAGAATGAGGAATGGAGCCACCTGGGCTGATCCACTAAGCCCCCTCCTTCCTGGAATCAGAAAGTTTCCTCCAGGGGCAGGGTGGAGCTCAGTGGTAAAGCACTTATGCACCAGCCCTGGGTTCAATCCCTAGCACCACAAAAATAGAAAAGGAAAAGAAATTTTCCCCAAGGAGTGGACCCAGTGAAAAGCATATAATGTAATAAAACTTGACTGAGGCGTGGGGCAGGGCTGCAGGGTGCAGGGGGTGGTGGGTCAGAGGACCCGGATCCACCACCCCCCTGCTGATCCTGCAGGGCCACCCTGGCCAGCCAGCTCCTCTACCCCTTCAGGCACCCATTCAACATGGGGGACAACTGCCTAAAACTCAGTAGCTGCCTGACCTTCACCTTGCACATGTTGGGGGACCCTGGCCCCTTCATCTGCAAACAGGATTCAACGTGCACATTGGCACATATTTGGCAACCTTCCTGCCCCGTGGGGCAGGCTCTGCCCATAGTCGTATTTAACGTGGCCTGGGCATCTGCTATGTGCTGGGTACCCAGCCCGTGTCCTCACACAGTGTTCATGAGAGGCACAGATGGATCATCTCACACAATGCAACAGATGCAGCAATAAAGCCATGCATGGAGGATCATGTTAACAAGGGCACCCACACCGGCCCAGAATGCTGGGGAGGGGGGCCCAGGCAGGCTCTGAAGTAGTCTGAGCAAGTCTTGGAGCCTGAATTGGAGGATCTAGCCAGGGAGTTTGGCACAGAGGTGAGAAGTGGCTAGTGCAGTTAGGCTGAGGAATGAAGTGCAAAAGGAGAGGGAGGTTCCAGGCAGGCAGGGGCTCTGGGAGGGCCTGGTCAACCTTCCTTGGACCTAGACTGTATCTGGAGGGCAATAGGGAGCCATTGAGGGTTTTAAACAGGGTGATGGCTCACTAGATTTGCATTTGAAGGAAACTACCCTACCCAGTTTGGAGATAGCTTCAAGGCCCTGCAGAAGACCCTCCTCCTCTGGCACAGGAATGCAGGACAGGGTCAGCTCCTCCATATCAGAGTGAGACTCTCAGGTCTAGGGACCTGGGTCCTCTGCCCACTGGCCTGCTCTCCAAGAGGGCTGCCAGCTCAGCATCCAGCAACCCACTGAGGGCTACAGCTGCAGGACTCCCAGCTCCACCACTCCAGCGGCCGGGTGCCCTCAGACAGGGTTCTGCCTTTATTGATTATCACGTATTCCCGAGCACTGGCTATGTACCAGGGGCCGTTCTAAGAATTTGTCATAACCAGTGAACAGAACACTCCAAGACGCCTGCCTGAGATGACCATCAGGGTACAGCCATAGTGTGGGGCCTGGGTCCTCTGGGGCAGGGCCAGGCAGTGCTGGAGTGCTATGGAACGGGGTGGTAGAAGCGCTCACCAAAAGGTGGCCTTTGGGGAAAGAAGGAGATGGCTTTTGCTCCGGATGAGGGAGCCATTTAATTCTTGTGAACAGAAGATGGTCTTTAAAGTCTGGCTCTGAATGGACAGCAGGTTTGGGGAGGGGTGGCCAAGGGCAGTGGGGCTCTTGCAATTGCCCAGGAAAGGGGTGAGCAGGGCGGTAGGATTCTGGATGTATTTTGGAAGTGACAGCTTCTCAGTGCCTCGGTTTCCTCATCTGTAGAGTGGGGCTAATAACAGTTGTCACATCATAGAGCTGTTGGAAGCTTAAATTAATTTAATCCCTCGCATTGCACAGTGCCGGGGACATGTTAGCACTCTCTCTGGGTGTCACTAAATAAACCAAGAGGGATTGGGCGCAGGGATTCCCACTCCAGACTGCCTGGGCTCCTGCCCCCACTCTTGAGGTGCTCAGTGTGCTACGCCCCAGGTCATTGCTTAGGAAGAAACGGCCTCCTCACAATCACCCCTTCCCAGAGCTGTGGGGTCTGACAGCAGGAGCCCTGCTGTGGCCGCTGTTGCTGGCTGCCTTTCTCCCCTAGCCGTTGACACCCGCTCCCTCCACCTCCCCGCAGACTGCTGTGTCCACTGTGTCCTGTCCTGCCTGTTCTGTGAGTTCCTGACGCTGTGCAACATCGTCCTGGACTGCGCCACCTGCGGCTCCTGCAGCTCCGAGGACTCGTGCCTCTGCTGCTGCTGCTGTGGCTCCGGCGAGTGCGCAGACTGCGACCTGCCCTGCGACCTGGACTGCGGCATCCTGGACGCCTGCTGTGAGTCGGCCGACTGCCTGGAGATCTGCATGGAGTGCTGCGGGCTCTGCTTCTCCTCCTGACCCGCCCCAGCCCTAGGGCTGCCCCATGAAGCTTGATAACCCCTCCGCTCCCAGCCTCCGCTCCCAGCCTCCACTCCCAGCCTCCGGGGGCCCTCCCAGAGCACCAGCCCCAAGAGCAGACCGGGTGGGTGCTCTGTAGGGACACCTCAGCCAGGGAGCTGGGCCCACGACAGACAATCCTGCCCTCCCAGCTGGTTACCAGGGACCCCAGCACCAAGGATCTGGTGAGATGGGACAAGGGTGGGGGCCACTCTAGGACCAGCCACCAGGGCTGCGGAACACTGTGAAAGTTAGAGGAGGGGGCGGTGGAGGGGGGGCGTGTGCTTCTCTACCTCTCTAGTCCTGGTGCCCACCTCCCCTGCCCCCCCAGGCCTCGAGGACAGCAAAATGTGAAAAGATTCACCTGCCCCGCCCCAGCCAAGCCCCTCCCCGAGTCCTTTCCTGGGCTTTGTGGGGGCCTAGCCTATGCAGTGACCCAAGAAGCCAGGCCTGGACCCAGGGCCTGACGGGAGGGGGAACAGTACAGAAAAGACTGGAAGGGGTGGGGGAGGGTCTGTTTGGTTTATTGCTGTAAATACAGATATTTGTCCGTCTCTGCTCTGCTCAGGCTTGTGACTGATTTCCAAGGACCATAATGCTCCAAAGCAAACGCTCCCTTTAACCCCCTAACAAGCACCCCATTGGGTAACCCTTTCCTGCCCCCCCACCCATTCATGCTACCCCAAGGGAGGGAGGGAGGGGGTGCCCACTTTTCACCCTGTTCCCTCTTCCCACCAAAGGGCAGGAGAAATCCAGACAGGGAAGAGTTAACTTTGGCACAGGATTAATTGACCACAGATGTGTTCAGGTTTTGATTAATCAATCTCCTGCTGACTCCAGCTTCTCCAAGCTCTTCCCCATGAGTTAGTCCCAGGCATAGGGTGAATCCATGTTGGCAGCAGAGGGGTGCCCAGGAGAGGGTCACCTCAGGCCCAACCCACTCTGAGCCTGTACCTGAGTCTCACTGGGAGGCGGGCTAGGACTTGAGTGGGAGTTCATTTGGCCCCAGTCGCCAGGGGCTAGAGGAAGAGGAAACACAGAGGAGCGCAGAGGCCATCTGTCCAGTGCTGTTGGCGTGCAGACAGGAGGCCTGGCCAGCAGCCAGGTCTGGGAACTGCAGGATGGCACTCGGGGAGTGTGGACCCTGCTGTGTGGCACCTCCCCTGACCCTGGACCTGGAGGAAGCCAGGAGGTCCGGGGAAATGAAAGGATGTCACTATGGTAGGGGATTTGGGTGCCCTGAGGAGGACCCAACTGAGGAAGGCCTTGGAAAGTGGGCACACAGGGACACCAGTGAGTGCTGCCTCCAGGTATGTTGGCTGGAGGGACTTTGGAGGGTGGGAAGGCCCTCGGAGAAAGGGCCAGCCGAGCCAGGTGCCACAGCACACAACTCAGGAGGCTGAAGCAGGAGGATCTCAAGTTTGAGGCCAGTCTGGACAACTGAGTGAGACCCTGACTCAATGGTGGAGCTCAGTGGTGGAGCGCCTGCAGCATGCGAGAGGCCCTGGATCCAATCCCCTGGATGGGGGAAAAGAAAGAAAAATCAGACAAAATTGAAACTTCAGAAGGAACATCATGTGGGGGAGCAACCCATACCTTGGGAGTGGGTTTCAGGGGTGGTGGCAGAGGAGGTTGTAACAGGCCCCATGGAGGGCTCACTGGAAACTTAGAAAGTAGGTAGGAAGGGACCTGCCCTGGGTCTCACAGGCGGGCCAGGGCGGAAGCCCCTAGGCCCCTGATGTTCATTCATATGTCTCTCTGTGTCCTTTTGTTCATTTTTATTTAGCTACTGCATGCCCAAGGTATAAAAGTTTCAAAAGCCCACCCTGTGTAGATATAAGCATTTACACGTTTTCTTTTTCCACAAAAATGTGAGGACAATTTGCACGTTATGCTGTCCCCTTTATTGGAACACTTCCCACTTGACAAGCTCCACTGGGAGTGTCCTTCTCAGCACGCTGCAGAGCTACCTGGGGTTCAGTAGGTGGCCGAGCCACTGCCCAGTGACTGAGCTCTGCTCTCTGCCACTCTGTTATCATAAGACTATGAACATACCCTTTTGCATGAATAAGCTGTTTCGAGAACATTCCTGAAGGTTTCATTGCTGGGCTTATGGGTGTCTGCATTTGTAACTGTGGCAGGTCTGCCCAGTCATCCTCCATAAGGATGTACCAGCCCCTACTCATGTGGCCTTGGGGTGTCCATCTCTCCCACATCCCTAGCTCTCTGGGTCTGAGGAGGAAAGACAGTGGAGGGAAGCTCCCATGGTTCTCTCTGGTTCTGCTCAGCCTCACCTCTGAGGGAGGTGAGGAAGGCCAGGAGGATGGGGTGGAGTGAGAGCCTCTGACCAATTTGGTGTCTGGTCCAGGTAGGTAGGAAGCCCCCCGCCCCCCCAGCACAGCCAGCAGGGGCAGGAAGAGGCGCCCCTGCAATCCAAACACTGATTTCCTGCTGCAGGCCCTGGGCTGTTTTCTTTAGGACAGCGGCTGAAACCAGAGAAGCTGAGCTGGTTGTGGGTAGGATGGGGAAGGATGGAGCCAGCCCCCAACACGCATGCCCGTATCCCTTCCTGCCTACACACAGGCCTGAAGCCACGCACACCTCCCTACAACACATACACACCTTCACACCCAAACTGAATTGAACCACACCCCCTTCACACGCACATTCCATAGTCACACACCTACACCCCCCGACACACCACACGCACATCGCATCCACATAAACCCACACACACACATATTACACATTGCAGATTCTGGGGCCGAGCTATGAGAGCCATGTCCGATTCCCTTTGCCCAGGTGAGTCTCATCCCCACAGGGAAACAGATGGCTTTCACCTGGATACCATCCACCTACCCTGCCTAGCCATCCTCCTGGGGAAGCCCGTGTTTGGGACCCTTTCTCTCTTCCACAGTTGTCCTCTGTCAGCTCTCGTCTCTGCTTCTGCAGCCAGGTAGGCTGGACCAGGTGACAGTTCTCAGCTGGCTCTGCTGTGGGCCCCAGGGACAAGGCCTCAGTTTCTTTGTTGCACACTGGAACAGCACACAATGCTGGGAATCTAATGGTGGCCAAGTGTCCGGGGAATACTCTGCCCCTCTGTTTTCACTCATCTTTGGAGCAACAGATGGGTCACTTGCCCAGGAGACTTCCTGAGGGGCCACCCTCTTCTGCTGGGTTGTCTGAGAAGAGGCAGGCATTCCCACACCTGTAGGAGGCAAGGTGCAGAGGCCAAGTGAAGCCGTCCTAGGCCAGGACCATCCCATGACCTGTGCGCCAGACCTGAAAGACGCTGCCCTGTGACAGATCAAGATGTGTCGCTCACATCAGTCTCCTCCCTATTTACTGGCTGTTTTAGTCAGATTTTTTTTTTTTAATTTAATGACCAAAAGACCTGGCAAGAATAATTAGAGGAGGAAAAGTTTTTTTGGGGGGCTCACGATGTCAGAGATCTCAGTCCATAGATGGCCAATGCCATTGCTCTGTGGCAGTACATCATAACGGAGGAGTGTGGTGGAGGAAAGTGGCTCAGGACATGGCCACCAGGAAGCAGACAGAGAAAGATTTCTCCTCTCACCAAGGATAAAATATACACCCATGACATGCCCTCAGTGACCTAGCTCCTCCAGCCACACCCTACAGCTACCACCTGGTTAATCCCAGCATCAGGGGATTAATGCTCTGATTTGGTTAAGGATCTCTTTACCCAAACATTTTACTCTGACCTTTCTTGCACTGTCTCACTCGTGAGCTTCTGGGGAACATTTCATGGCTAAACCCAACTCTGGTGCCCTCTGTTCCTGTGCCCAGACCTGGGCACACTGAGTTTCAGGACACAACCGTCCTGGCTCCACTTGAAGCTGCTGGCCCCTGCCCCTAGACAGGTATGTCCTAGGGCCTTCACCAGTTCCCCAGGAGATGAGCCAGTAGTGGGGGCCCCGGGGCTGGAGGCTGAGTCTCTCAGGACTACTGCAGACCTGCCAGGCTTTGGGCAACAGGTCTTTACAACAGCTGCAAAAGCAGTATGGCCGCCCTCAGAAGGGACCTTGTGCAAAGATATGGGAGAAGCAGGGACAGCGGCCACAGATGGGAGCAGGAGGGCACAGAGATCACAGGTCTGCCCCATGTCGTCTCACATGGGTGCTCCTTTCTGTGTTTTAGGATGAGAATGGGATGGTGCCCGTAGCCACAGGCCTTGGTGACTTTACTGCCTTCTCCCCACCCTGCCTCCTCTCTCTACCCCCCAGTTCCTGCTAGATCTGCTTTTTTTGTGAGTAATGGCCTCATTCCTGCAGGTAGACAGGCAATGGGGTGAGAAGGGAAGGTCCATCCACATGCTGTGTCTACTGGGCAGGTCTCAGATCCGCCCCTCAGGGCACCCTATATAAAAAGCCAGGGAAGGACTCTGATTGGCCCAGCATGCCTTAAGATTCATCACTGAGCCAATCACTGTGCCAGGGGGTGGAGGGCTATGACTGGCCAGGCCAAAGTCATGTGACAACCTCTGTGGCCAGGAAGGAGTGACATAGTCTCTCCTCCAGAACCAGATAGAAAGGGGGGAAGCTCCCCTAAGAAGTGGGGGTGCTGTAACAAAAAAGTGGGGAAGGCTGTCCAATTAAACCTGGAAACTGCACACAGTGACACAGGCCTATAATCCCAGTGACTCGGGAGGCTAAAGCAGGAGGATCCTGAGTTCAAAGCCAGCTTCAGCAACTCAGCAAGACTCTATTTCTAAATAAAATATTAAAAGGGCTGGGGATGAGGCTCAGTGGTTAAGCACCCCTGGGTTCAATTCCTGGTTCCAAAAAAAAAAAATTTTGGAAATCACTATAGGATCAGAATACCATAGATAGGTTCAGAAGAGGTGCTTTCGTGGGGGAGGCCTGACTGGAAACCTCAAGTAGCAAATGCCACTCAAGGCATGTGACTGGAGGAGTCAGTCAAGGAGCAGATCTCCCAGCACC